GAGGGCCAACCACTTTACAAATATCTCTGACAGAGTGAATAGGAGCACTAAATATTAGAGAGAGGGATTTTTTGTACATGTCAATTAAATTTTCCCAAATGTACAAGGCCAATCTACCTATCTACCATAGTCAGATTCTTTTAGCGTTCATTCTTTGTATTACTTATCCTTACCAATAATATTCTGTTGTCAAATATTATAGAAAACATTAGCGAACTCGGCTGGTACAGTTGAGACCTTAAATATTAATCCTTGTCGCTCTTCCAAAATTCTAGAGGATGAAGTGTAAATACGGGGAATCCTTCTAAGAAATTTGTGGTAAATAATTTCTAATGTAAACGAATGTTTGAAGCTCCCTTTACACTACACCCATTCAGAAACTGATTTATAACCGCCTTCTATGTGGACAGCCACGTATCAGTTCCTGTCTAGGTGAGGTAAAATTATGTACACACCACGGGCGGAAGTTATGAATGCTCAGACTTTGCATTTTTAACCCTCGGTTTCGCCTCGCTGGTATACACGCGAGATCTGAAACATTCTTTACTAAAGTGCCCTGATGTGGAAAACAAAATTTTTTTTAATCCTATAAAAGAAGTTTTTAAGTAACGTTTTTGTTATATTTATATAGAATGGAGAAATTGTAATTGAAAACAATTGAAAATTTACTTTGCCATTACGAATGCAAATGAAGTTTATTTTCATTTATAAACGACTTCTTGTAGCTTGATACTAACTTACGCAGAAAGTAAGGTAATATTTCTTCATGCTTTTAGTATACCAAATTTTGAAGTACAAATTAAGCACGCAGTTAGCAAAAAGAACAATTAAAGGTAAAAAAATAATTCAAGCATTATAAAATAAAATAAATCATAAACAATTGATGGGTAATGATATTTAAATACGATCTCCAACATCAAATGTACTTTTCATTTATTTGTCTAATTTTTTTACAGATTATCCTACTTTATAATCTGGATTCCAACGTACTTGTGTGTTTGCTTTTGAATTTATTATTCCATTATATTTGTCGCTAGCAGCTGAAATATTAGTGTCATTCTAAGTATAAAATAAGCAATAGAGCTTGATAAGGTTTAAGTAGCAACGACTTAAGTACGTATATTCCTTAAACTATATCTTGTAAATGGGTCAAGATGGACTTTCTACTTTACTATTACAAAATGCGTCAATTTTGATGCTGATTAGAATTTCATTAACGTTATGGTTTTAGAAAATGAATTCGTTAAAAAACGTCCTTACTAGCGAAAAAGAAGCGTTTGATAAATAACAGCTCTCAGTACGTAAAATTTCAAACAATGAAAATTGTCTATACAAAATGTAATTGGAACGAAATAACGTTAATCTTAACAATACACAATTACTGGTACATAATAAGCTTTTTCTAGTTGATGTACGGTAAAAATCTTTGATCCTACGTATGCACCCACACATATATGCGCGTAAGCGATAATTTTCAAAATTAAGTTTCCATGCCCTTTCAGTACGTCATCCACACTTATAAAACGTTCAGGGCATCTTGATCATTCGGTTCATCATACGTACGTATAAGCTTACCGTTCATTACATTATTAGTATTAATCATTTTTCTGCATATTTAACAACAAACTCGATAAAACTTTACACGACTCGTACATTACGCTCTTGACAGCTCATAAGACGGATAATGACGACGGGTAAGTAAAATAATACCACACTAAAACATTTAATGCTTCGAATCGCTCAAATATACAAATCTGTGCTCACATTTTAGCGTTACCTTTTTTTCCGTATTATTTATATATTTATAATATGTGTTTTAAGTACATTAATAATTATATCCATAACCCATTGTTTCATAATTGTATAGTTATTAAAAGCTCTCTCTCTCTAGCCCACTGTTAATTCAACTTATTATCATCATTATTATTTCATTCGCTCGTCATCTACAATTTCTAGACTTGTGTCTTATTACACGTGTTTTTTAATTAACATTCCTTTTACAATAATAATGATAATAATAACCATAATATTGTACTTAGGTAAAATAATATTAGACATAAACTCAACGCGCTCTAGATTCGTTATTATTTAAGTTTGGACAGAAAAAATGGACCTCAGCCCTGCACTCGTCCCCAATCGTCTTGTAATATTCCAAGAGACTTAATTTATTACTTGTTTTAGCAAAATGGAGGGAATCCACCAACAATATTATTAACAAATCGGTAAAAAATTTTTTTCGCAGTGATATTTATGCATTGTAACACCACGTGCACATTAAGTTCAGAGAATTATGATTTTTTTTTTTTTTAACTCTTTTCTTTTTTCACAATTGATTGATTATCTTTTTTCTCCACACGCAATACGATACGGAATAAAAATTTTACTAATCGTCGAAAATGCAAGGGGAATGTAAATTTGCAATTTATGTTCGATGCAGTTTCGCGAAAGGACATTGTTATTACGGGTATCGTGAATACATATAGATATAATCGAAGAATACTTGTAAGGATGCTTTTTTACGACACATCAACAATAACAATTAATCACTTCGCTATACGCTGACTTGAAAAAACCAATAGACTGAAAAATGCATTTATTTTTGAAATTATAAGAAAAAAAGGGTACAAGACGCTTAAAGAACATCATCACTGTGTCCATACCGTTGTGTACAATTGTGTAAGTATCCCTTTTTTCCGTTAATTTGTATTCGCTCATCATTATTAGCAACGCGTGGTAACCATTGAAAGCTTCCTCGGCGTGCTTCACTGCTAACAGCGGAAAAATACTAAGTGCACTGATGCCAATTCACATATTATTACATGGAACTGTAGCATAATAAATATTCCAACAGTCATTGACGTTATTATTTTCATTACCATTTAAGTTTATTTAAGCAAAAAGTTGCATATTTATTTCATCATTGTATACTTGTACAAATGAAAAAAAAAATTTGCCTGACGATAAACCGTTACAACCAATTAGATCAGTAAATTCTTTATTAAAATCAAATAAATTTGCTTTATTGCACTTATGGACTAAATAAAAGTCTATATGTTCGAAACAAAAATCACTCTTCAGCACAAAAAGTCCCCAATAAGAAAATGGAATGTATAGAAATGAATAAAAACTGTATCACTCACGAGAACGAGAATACAGATAAAAAATAGTAATAATAAAACAGTAATAATAACGTATGATTAAAAGTGTTATCGACACTAAATGAATATCACTCTACAGTTTACATCTACGTTCAACTATTGCACTATTATTTATAATTTTCTTAAACTTTAAGATCGTAAAAAAAGAAATAAATGCATCTGCCCTTACAAACAAATTTGAAGGTATGCAGTAACGATGCTTATCCACTTTAGCAATATGTTAATGCGGCTAATGAATTGTATTTCTCGCACGTTCATCCCCACGATCCTATCTTCTGTTTTGTTATTTTTTTGAACCTACTCTTCCCTGTCTTTTAAACAATCATGTCACATCCAATATCGCCTTAACTTATTATTCGAATCTTACATCTCGTGACAAATCACTTACATAAACAGAGCTAGGAGCGATGAAAAAGCTTGTATGTTTGGACTTTCCTTAAATTTGTATATCCTCTTCGACTTGATTATCGTGATTTCATCATCATAACTTTGAACTCGCATGCAAAAATATTAGGAAATACCCTCATAAAGTTAAGCTGGACGGCACTGATAAAATTAGGATCTCTTTGAAGGACGCGAATTTTAAATGTAGCACGTGTAGTCTGCATGAGAGAGGGACTGCTCGACAGCATTTCTTTGTGCCTTTTGTTTCAATCACACCTCTAAATTCAAATGAATATTAGCGTACGACGGTCTCTACATAATTTTATCTGATTTTTTTTTTTTTTTCATCTCGTCCACGCTTATTATTACTTTGCTTCACTTCCACTACCAATGTACACAATAAACGACGGCGAATCTTCAAGTATTTTTTACAATGAATTATAAAACTACGTATTGGTTTGACGAGAGATACTGCTCTGCAAACATCAGTCACCTTCAAGCTACTTTTTTTTGTAGTTATGCAAAATGTTCATCATACATTGAACATATCTACCGCTTCTCTACAGAAATATATGTATATGAGTAGCTTTAGTCTTTGCTCGTTCAAAAAATGTGCAATGCTCTATGATCACGTCACGAGTAGAGAATTTTTCATCGTTTCATAAAATGTCCATGATGTAATTGCACGTCTTTCAAAGTCTCGCATTCACTTAAAGGTAATCTAAGCTCTACCGATTATGTGACTACAGTTAGTTTATGAAAAATTGGCACCGATGCCCGAAGAACAGCTCTCGCCCATGTTTCACCTTTCCCGTTTGTTTTGTTTTTTTCTCTTTTTTTTTTTTTTTTTAACATGATTAGTTTACTTATCGTTTATTATAAAATATCGATCTTTATTACTTTTTTGACCGAACTACTTTAGGAGCGAGCAAAAAAGTTCGCAATCATAGCGGTAATATTACGTCGGCGCAAAAGTATAATATGAGTACCGATACATCCCTAAGGACAGCGAAGGCGTTTCTTGCGATGCGATATAACATGAAGATATACAATATATAATATTTGTAGTATTTATATATATATANTGTACAAGTATCGGTATATATATATATATATATGCTGTATCGTATTTACAACGGGACGTGCTGAACTATCCACGTTTGCCAAACCGTTTATTTGCCTTTAAGCATAAAAATAATGTTACTTACAGCGTTTGGCGTTTTTATAAATATTATTTTTCATCGTTTTGGTTCACTTGCCGTAACTACTTAACGGCAAGTCTCTTGTTTTTTTTTTTTGTCATTGGCGCGGTTATGAATTAGTTTTGCCTTCTTCGATAAGTAAAAAAGTCTAAGTCTCCATAATTGACTAGCGTTGTGTTATTAATCATTACTTTGACGGAGATAGATATTTTTTTTTTCACTATTCATTAATTTTTTTTTGTTTTAGTTTGCTTGATGTTTTTTTTTTTTTTTTTTTTTTTTTTAACACATATTTGGCGTTAGTCGTACTAAAAATCTTTTATAGCACGGATACATTGCATCGGTTTCTATAGCTAATGCGATGGCCCATTAAGTCGTTTAAGCTATTAGCATAAAAGATAAATTCTCGGCATGATTCTGAATGTTATAGTTTTTGAACGATTTTTGAATAGTCTGTCTTACTGTACAAAAATGTGACGGTAACATCTACGCTTTCTGACGTATCTTCGTTCCATGAAATCCATCAAGAAATTTCAATAACGCTGTTGGAATTCGTGGTGCCAGCGGTTGAAGTCGATGTGAAAAATGACAATGGAACCGTTTGCAAGACCAGCAAGCAGGAATCTGGAATCATTAAAATTTATTGCAAATGTGCATAACTGAAATAAATGTGTTCGACGACAATAGGTGTTGAACATTAAAATAATACTGTCTCACAAATTAAAGACTTGATTTTCAAAGAATTAAAACCATCTCATCTGAATTATCAAATATCAATGTAAACATACATAAGGTAATAACAAGCTCCTTAGGAAAAGTATCCAAAGCACCATCTTTTTTGGAGAGAACATTGTTTTAATGCTGTTTTGAGTTTACTCTTTAATCGGTAAGCGCATAACAGCGATGAGTGACGGGTAATTATTGTGGCAAAAAAAAAGGAACTACTGTGGGAGAGTGACCAGCCTTGTCTAATAAAAATAGTATTTCCACGACTATCGCAAATTCCACGATCAGCAACATAAATAATACATCCAGATGTTTCAACACTTTCACTTCTTCTTCGTTATTGACAATTCGTGTATTGAATCAGTTGAGAAAAAAGGATTCTCATGCTTACCGTTGATCGTGGGAAAGTGCCAATGACCGGACGCTGCTTTCGCAAGCTGGGAATGCATACAGCAACGCCAGGTTGAACGTTCTCCAAACTTCGACGATACCTTTATCACCTCCGGTCATCAAATATTCCCCGTCGCGACTCAGGAGTAAGCACTTCAAACAAATCACGTAAAATTGAGTCAAATTTTTTTCTTTTCAATTCTTCATGTAGGAAAATGAGATTTCTGCAGAGGGAAATCAATAGTTACTTACTTGTAAATTGTCGTTGTGCGACTCGAAGCGAAGGCGTTTGCCATTGATCGTGAAGGCAGCAATGTGTCCACGCTCGTAATTTGCTACGATGACGCCTTCTCTCGACATGGCAATGTTTTCCGGCGACGAGAATCCAGCCGGTGGTTCCAGCGATCTCAGCAAATCGCCAAACGTCGTGTGCACCAAAACCGGTCCACCTTTTAAAAATTCGGTTAACATTCGGTCAGTAAAATTAGTAAAACTGATTCGTGAGCACTTTGTCGGGCGTACACTCACAGTAAGATCCCGAGACGACGAGACCCAGTTCCGCCGAGATGACGACGGCAGTGACCGGCTGCTCGTGACCGGTAAGGGTGGCGCGAGGCGCGGGTACCTCGCCCTCCCCGACTATCATCTGTGTCCGGGCGTTCCAGTGCCAGAGCAGCACCGTGCAATCAGCACTGCCGGAGGCTATGTAGCAGTCCGAGGTGATGTTGCACTCGCTGCGGGATAGGCACGTCACCACGCCGTAGTGCCCGAACACGATCTGGACGATTTTTGCTGTAATTGAAATTGCGAGTCAGATGATGTACCGGTTGTATTCAATAGGAGATTCATGCAGTAGATAATATATAAATGCAGTGGACGCCGGTGCTTGCCTGTTTCGGTGGAAAAAACTCGAAAACTGTTGTCCCAAAAGCCACAGGCAACGAGGAACCGGCTGTCGACCGTAGTTACGAAGCAGTTGCTTCGGATTTTGAGCTTTTGACTGAAGTTGTCCCCCAGGTGGCGTTTTAACGCAGGGTTCGAGCTGTTCGACGTTTGAGCTGAAAGTGCGTGGCGTAAGATTTTCATTTATTTATTGTTTTCCCCTTAAAGACGAGTTAACGCGTACAACGTGCAATTGGATGTAATGTTCTTACATAAAATGGGGTCCATGGAAAGAGGTTGGTTGGCCGCTTGAGCCTGTGGAGTATCGGCGTAACTTGGCGATTGCACGGATGCTATGAAAACGAGAACAATGAAACAATCGATAAAATCATAGCGCGTGCAGAGACTGCAGATGGATAGTCCAGTCGATTCTCAATCATGAGATTGAATGTAATTTTAAATTACCTGCGTAGTTGGTGTTCCATCGGTTGACCGCGAACTGCTGATTTATTGTAACAGTAACAACGGAGGGCAAAGGCAGCTGCGGATATGTGTTGGCGGATATGTGGCAGATGGGGGAGTTCGACAGGAACTTTAGAGTCATGCACACGTCTTCGGGAATGCTCGAGAACATCATTGGTGACTGGAAGAGTAAATCAGTTTATGGCGTGATTATAGAAAAAGAGAATTGAATGAGGGAATCTAAAACTACAAGTAATGCGCAATCACGCAGTCGATAGCCAATTAAATCTGAACAAATGTATCATGCTTTGCCACGGGGGCGAAAGAAAGTTGTTCTCACACGAGTATGTGCGTTGTTAGCCGGACAAAGCTAGTTGTTGAGTAAACGATATTTTTTGCAACAAAGATCTATAGAAATTCAACTTTAGCAGTACCCTGCATATAGTGTGTAGCAGTACAGAGCCGCAGGACAAAAATTTAGTCGCCCACACTTTTATTTTCTGGGGCGAATCATTATAAACTTGTGTCTTCAGAGTCAGAAAGATTTTTCACGCGCACATACACAAAGGCATCAAGTTTTAAGTTTTTTTGTTCTTGTCGTCGAGAGGTCGAGCTTCTGCAAAACAAGCTGAAATTTTTATAAGTATCCTTTGGTTGAAAAATAAAACAATCAAAATCATCGTTTTGTTCGTACGTAGATTTTATTAATACTTTTGGCTTTCTACGAGAAATCTAAGTCTCCTTTATAAATTTAAATGAAAAAAGAGTATTATTCCTTAACAGTTTTTTTGAGTAAAATATTGAGTGTTTAGTTGAAAAGTCCTAACGATATCTTACACAAAAATCATTTCTCTCAGTGTACACCGAATTATGAACGAATGAATTCTTCTTTTTTTAATTAACATATTTTAGTGGTCGTTCACAGAAATCGTATCTAACTTTTTGTACGTTAAATTTTTCAAATAACTTAAAAGTAACTTCTAGTTCCTACACAACGATAAAAGAACCACCTCAGATAAATTTAAAATTCCAACGGAAAATACTCTCACAAATACACGGGATTAAATTTATGTGTTCAAACTGAAACTATTGTATTTTATGGAAGTTCAGAATGTTGCAGGAATTTTTTTCGATTTTTCCATCCCGATGAGCCAGTGCTACAAGCTTTCAAAAGTTCGTAAATTCTGTCTCCCCAATATAAAAACTAAGAGCCCGTAACGCTAAAAAATGTCATGTAACTTTTCAATGTGTTAGACTATCAACTCGAAAGTGGTGCGTTAAAATATAGCTGTTTTTCATATGATATAAGTGCAGGGGTAAATTTTAATTTGCATTGGTACAGTACAACACGTATATTTTTTAACAAATTTATAAGAGCCCGTAACGTTTTTTTTTTTTTAATAAAATAAGACAGTCGTCGTACAAGTTTTTCTTCTGCAGATCCAGCAGGGCTCAAAAAGTTTTAGCTTATTATGATCATAGAAAATACGAAAAAAATATTTTAACAATTAAAAACCCATTTTAAGTGTTTGTCTATTTCGGCCCTTAAAATATGCCAGTTTGCATATAATGACCTACGTATGTGAGAATATCGATATATACTCTGTATTCTATGTATGTATACGAGAAAATCCATAAAAAATATCCCATTTTTGTCCCCCGTTTTAATAAAAAAATTATTTTCGAGGCACACCTTTGAGATAGGGCCCATTTAACTCGTAATGCCATGTACCTACAAGGAAAAAATTTTGAACTCGGGTTTCAGTGAAGGTTTTCACCTTTTCTTACGTATGTATCTATTCTTATTTTCATGACGTTGCCTAAATGTTGTGCTTCAATGTTGAAGATTCAATGTTTTTACAACCTTTAATGATATTGGAGCTTCGAACATAAAATTCAGTCATTGCAAATTAACTGTAAGAACGGAGTAGCTAAGGTAACAATGAGAATATCAGAACAAAGAATAAAGACTCTTGAGTACATAAGGAAAAATTTCGACACATTACGATGCATTACTAATCGTAATTAGATAAGATCTAAAGTGTAAGAACAAAGACGTTAAGACTCGCAAAATATTTAAAAGTCATAAAAAGATACATTCACATAATTTGGCAAATACTATAACATAATCAGGGGGTGTAAAAGAAATATGTATTTGAATGAATAGAGAAAAAGTTTGGACTAAAAAATTATCAACGTAAAAATAAGTGTGAAAACTAATACGGAAATAAATGTTAATATTTGAACGGAGTCATCAAATTGATGTAGTAATAGTTATTTACGTAAAAAGTGCGGAAAAAACGATTTCCCGCACGAGTCGTGATTGACTCGCACGAGTGGCCGGAGTTGACGGGAACGAGTGCCAGTTGAGCACACGAGTGCGTAGCACGAGTTAGCTGAAAAGGTTTTTTCCGCCCTCGGGTGGTTTTGGAAGGCTGGTACTTCCTCGGGCGAAAAAGCAGTTTTCCGATACTCGTTCGAAAAGTCTCCTTTTCCGCCCTCGGGTAGTTTTGGGATGCTGGTACTTCCTCGGGCGAAAAAGCAGTTTTCCGATACTCGTTCGAAAAGTCTCCTTTACGAACCTCGTTACGGACCTCGCCTTCGGCTCGGGCCGCAAACCTCTCGGTTCGCAAACAGAGACTTTTCAAACTCGTAGGAAAACTACTATTGTCGCACACCTTTTCCGCATACTGTGTGGAAAAACCTTCGCCACACACCTTTTCCGCACACTATGTGGGAAAATCTATTTTCCACACTAATATCAATGCGGAAAACACCTATTTTCCGCACACTATTGCGAAATGGTAGTTTTCCTACGAGTCTGAAAAGTCTCTGTTTGCGAACCAAGACATTTGCGGCCCGAGCCGAAGGCGAGGTCCGTAACGAGGTTCGTGAAGGAGACTTTTCGAACGAGTATCGGAAAACTGCTTTTTTGCCCGAGGAAGTACCAGCCTCCCAGAACCACCCGAGGGCGGAATAGTAGTTTTCCTACGAGTTTGAAAAGTCTTTGTTTGCGAACTGAGAGGTTTGCGGCCCGAGCCGAAAGCGAGGTCCGTAACGAGGTTCGTAAAGGAGTCTTTTCGAACGAGTATCGGAAAACTGCTTTTTTGCCCGAGGAAGTACTAGCCTCCCAAAACCATCCGAGGGTGGAAAAATAAAATAAAGATGTCTGTACAATAATAGTTTTTGAAATAAAAAAAAAAATAATAGTATGTAAATCTCATAACAAAGCTTAACAAGTTGACATGAGTAAACAAGAAAAAGAACAAATAACAAACGACTGGAGAGCCCAGCAAATAAATATTTTGAGTAGTTTTGTTTTATTAGGTTGTACGCGGCAGTATACACACTGAATTACGTTTTAAAGAGCATTTTATAGTATAGTAACTATCCTTTTTGAGACACAGAACAAGAATCTTACCATGAAAGGAAGCTAAACGGTGTTTTATTTTCGCCAGTATAAGAAATAAATGTATTATTACTTGAGAGAAAAACAAGATACCTTGGAAATCTTGGCCATATAACCTTTTGAAAATAGATTTATTTACTTGTGTGGACCCTCTTGCCTCGATATTATCGTATTTTAAAGACAAGACAAAATTGATGCTTTCCTAAATCTAGCAGGAGCTCTAGTCCAAAGACATGCATATTATACTTTGAAACTGTTAACACTTACCAAATGCATCGCAGAACTTCTAGGTGGGTGGGGTTCCATGAGAAGCTGTGAGGGTGTCTGACCGAAATTTCTTATCTGATTTTCAATGGCCTCCTTCATCATGAGATCGGTAATCGACTCCAGGTCAACGCTACCCTCGTACGTGAGGTAGTAAAACACGTTTGTCGCTCGCACTGCTTCGGGACCTAAAAACATTAACAATAGTACCTTCATTTTTTTTCTAATAAATAGAAAGAGAATGATATTCAAGTTTTCCATTATTTTCATTGTTTAAGGTATCCAGTAGTTTTAATAAAATTTCATGCTCAGTGTTTGGGTTATTTACGCATGGATGATGGATTAACTATACCGTTTGGCCTGTACCTTTTTTTTCATATTAAAGTGAACTGGCCTCAGAGAGACATGTTCACTATCTTTATTAAAAGGCCTGTATATTTACTCATGTAGAAGGATGGGTTTTATTATTGGTAACAACGAGTGTGGATAATTACTGAGATTTATTTTGTACACGTTACTTTGACTATTTTCTTGAGATATCATAACAATTTTCTTGCTGTCATGAAAAAAAAAAAAAAAAAATTTGGATAAGCTGTATCAGTGACCAAAATAAACATAGTTGCACAGGAAATTCAAGACTCCACAGCCGGGACTTCTGTTCAGAAACACCGAGTGTTATTAAAATACTAATTCAGGGAGTTGTACTAAATTTACTTTGATTTCCGTAAAAAAAAAAAGTAATAAGCCCAACAATATCAGGGAAAAAAAATTCGTATTAATAGACAAACGTTTTTTTTTACGATTATCATAGTTCACCTTCTTAACGAAATCCCACAGGTCTTACAAGAGCGCGTACTCCGAAGGCATTAATTACCAGGTAATTAATCTTCGCTCCGTTTTTTCAACCTTCCTCCATTAAAAGAGTAGCTCTTCTCCCTCGTGGTCTTCCGAGAGACACACGACACGCGTGAAAACGAGAAAAAGCGTTAGAAACGAAAAAAAACGTCGCCCCGAAAGAGGAGAAGCAACCAGAAAACAAGAAGAACATACGATGACAAAAAACACACACAGGAACTTGGTCGATACTGGCTCTCTAAGCGCCAGCTAAAAGAGAGAGAGAGAGAGAAAGAGCCGAGCTTCATCCGCTGAGTCCCCGTATGCATAAGTGGCTCTATTTCCGGCGCGACATTGCACCCCAACTCTTGGGACGCATCACCGCACGAATGTACCATGAGCAAGCACCCCCACACCATTCGTCTTTAATATGCTATAGCCCCCAAGAGAAAAGGTATATGGGAGATCAGGAAAGCTGCCATGCACGTATATATATAGACAAGGCACGAAGAAGAAGAAGAAAAAAGATCAGCGGTAGGTACTCGTGTACCTAAGAACTAAAATTTCGTGTCACGCGAGCACGTGGCCTAATTGGTAAGAACTAATTCATTCCATACGATGACGATGGCAAAAGCTGGATTTCTCTGCTTCGAAGAAGACTTGGAACGGATACAGAAGCGCCTTTCGCAATTAACATCCCTTGTGAGCCTCGGGAGTTTTTGACGCATTCTTTTGTGCTTTTTTTTTCTCGATACGCGTGGAATCACTCGTAAACGTTTCACCCTCCCCTACGCCCTCCTTTCACTCGTGTCGTTTTTCGAACAAAGTCGCTGATTGAATGACACTTTCGGAGATTGGATCACATAGTGGCTAATTCGTTTTGATGTTAGTGCAGATTTGTGCTTGATGTTTCATTTTTTTTTTTTTTTTTTTTTTTTTTTTTTGCCCTTTCGAGAAATAATCTCGCGTATCACTTATCGCGTGACCCTCTTTNGAAAAATACTTACGCAACATTTTTTTTTTTTTTTTTTTTTTTTTTTTTTTTTTTTCGTACCATATTTTCTTTTATACTTGTTTATCTGAATATCATTGGGTATTTAAAAAATTATGATAAAAATGTACAAATATACATTTAAGCTTAAACAAAGTAAAGATAAAGCGATACGATAAATTATTGAAAATCAGTATCCTAAAGGATTTACGTGAAAAAGTTACCAGCGCCCGTACCTTTCTGTTTGTAGCCAAATATGAGGTCTATCCACTGATGCAATTGGCAGGAGACAAACTCGGATTCCAAAGCCTAAAAAAAAAAACAATAATTTCATTTTGTGTCGCAACGTACAGTTTTGCAACGAGTAACAATAGTACGTACCATTCGATTGATTCGGATAAACTCCTCGGGAGAGGAAGCCCAAGGTGGGAGCTCAACATCACCAACGCAACTGCCATCATCTTGCTTTCCGAGCCGATATCGATTCGTGTTGACAAACATCTCTGGCAGGAAGAAGAACTCCGGTATCAATTCCTGTCAGGAAAGAGAGATCGTTAAGAACAGGAAACCGACAAATCGTTCGATTTATTCACAAAGATCAAGCTTTAATATGTAAGGCTCAACTGCTACATATTCCACCAGAGCAAAGTATTACATCATGTATGGAAATGACAATCCTCATATGAATGCAGTTACCTTCATCACCTCATGCTGAGGAGATAACTGGATCTATTTTTTACTCGTCATCAAAAGCAGACGACGATAGAAGAGAGTTTAACTTTGGATCAATTATTTTTGTAGTGTCATAAGCCCTTAACACCTTAATCTTTGAAATGCCGTACGTTCGTCAGTATGTACCTATTTACATTTTTATGACCTGAAAGATTTTTCAACGAAATACCCTAAAGGTAATGAAAAACAATCAAATAATTTGCTATTAGCTGCCATAGGACGGAAAATATATCACTTTTACTCCCCTTCCCCCAAAACCGAGAAAAAAAGTCCTTTCGGTAATGCAATAGAAAATATGTGAATATGTTATAGCTTAGGAACTGCCTTTTTTAAGCATTGTACAAAAGCTCCTCTCTGACTGCAAATGTGTGATAAAATTTTTTGTTGACCCCTTAGAAGGAGTAGTAAGAAATTGCAGTTTTTGAAAATATTTTATCATCTTGAGATTATTTTTACATGTTGGACATAACTGCAACTTAATGCAATTTCGTGTATAACATTTTAAGATGCAGATGTATGAAATGCGCTCTACCTTGACGTCTGAGGTGTCTCGCTGGCAGTTTTTCCATGATAATGCGATGGATGAAAACAGTCTGTTTGGATGATCAAATTTACCACCTTGCAGAGCTAAGAACATGGTTGTCATGGGTTCCTGTAACAAAAAATGATAAAATCGTAAATAATGTCATTAATGTATTTAAACTAATGAAGGGACGTAGGTAAAGAAAAGTTGTAGCTGAGTGGGTTTGGACACACACTTTAGTGAGTTTGCAATTCTATGAGATATACGACAGTGAAATAAATCATTACAAATCTCAGCTGGGTAAGCTCAAAAACTTTTTCAATATTATTTAAAATCTGTTATTTGTCTCTAAGCCCTGTAGCTGATCCTGGTGAGAGTTTTTTCCTCATGAAGATTTTTCGTTCCCACAGGGTCGGGCCGGCCGCCCAGATAAGTCTACTTTGCATCGCCTTGGGTCCATTATGGACCAATTAAGAAGTATGAAGAAACAGAAGGAAGAATCGCAAAATGGAGAAAGATTAGGGTTGGGACCAATGCTCAGTATGCAGTGGTGGTTGCTCTTTACCCAATAGTTTATTTACAGAAGCCAGTTTATTGAAAAGCATCAGATGAAAGGGAACGAAAAAAAAGATTTTTTTTTTAACAATAAATCTTCAGTAGGTAATTTCCATAACTACAAAAGATGTACAAAAAAAAGAATACAGATTTATTTCATTTCACATGCACCTCACACGACATAGTACATCTTCAATTCCTTACTTTTGACAGAATTTTTGCTAATGTCGTTAGTTTTAAAAAATATGATGTTTAATCTAGCAGAAAAATCCAGCAGCACGACTGTCACAATACCATCCAAAACAGAAGATGTGAAAACGACCGAAAAATATATACTGCATAATTAAGTACGCCATAAGACTTCAAAATAAACCTTCTGACACTACTAAATGACAAAATGTTAATAATAAAAACTAATGATTGATAAAATACCGATTTCCGAGATTCTGAATAAAAAAAAACAATCTCTCGGCTTTTAAACGATAATCTTTTGTACATCAACAGGTAAGATGTGATTTTCAAAGGGTACCAAGGGATATTTTGTAGAAGTATAATCGCGGAAATCACTAACTTTTTGACGCTTGACCTTACCGATACTAAAAAATATCGCCAAGTACCCTTTGATAATCACATCTCACCTGTTTATGTATGAGTTTGCAAATAAAAACTCTTATACCTAAGCAAGACTATTGTTTGAAAGCCAAGAAATTGATTTTTTTCGGTCAGAATCTTGGAAATCGGTATTTTATCAATCAATAATTTTTTTTAATAACATTTTGCTGTTTAGTAGTATTAAAAAATTAATTTTAAAGTTTTATTACGTATCTAATTACGTATAGTATATCTATTTCAGTCGTTTTTTCATTTTTTTTTTTGTTTGGTATTGCGACGGTCGTGCTGCTGGATCTGTCTATGCTAGTTTCAGCTTTATTTAAAAATAACCCTCGATATCTGTAACTTTAATGTAAAACAATTCATTCCAACAATGGGTCCTCCCTCTCAATACAAGTACTCCTCTCTTCAGTTTCCTTTTTTCCGTGGCATTACTTTTATGCACAAGGCACCAAATCTGTTTTACTTTTCGAATTCTTTGCAGTACTAAAAATAAATCCCAGCAAATGGACCTCACACCGTTATAAGTTAACGGGCGTGCAGCCATGAGCGTGGGTGTGTTTACTTAAGCACGCACGTTGTAAAATCAATCAAAGCTAAGTTATCGAAGTGCCTTACTGTCCGAGGGAGCGGCGTAAATATCCCAGAAATGCCCCACGCCAAACACTCACGCCCCTGAAAAAATTACTCTCTCGACGCGTGCGAGTTTCAAGCGAGGCGACGCGGTGGCTTGGATCTTTAAACGACCACTTAAGCAACACTTTACAGCTGGCGTGTGTGTACGTTTTGTCAGTCTACTCTTGGCTGGCTTGCTTACACTTACAAGTAAGAGAAAACCTGCTTTCATCATCAGTCAGTCAACTGTCTTGGCGACAATTCAAAGCAGTTGTACCCGATGATTTGAGAATCGATTTTTTATCGTAAGATACTGATGTTAGCGACTCTAGCTTATTGATAAGAGTAAAAGAGATGAATCTGATATTGTACGGTCAGTTTATTTTTTTCATGTAGTTGTGAAGTACGAGTGGAGAATATTTTTAAAACGTTTTTTCGAATGATCTGAATGTACAATAGTCATTTTGAAACAGCAGGCCTGAAATTTCAGATTAATGAGTGAGCTCGAATCTCTTGTATTATCAATGATATCACAAAGAAAGTACGAAGAGATTAAGGCATGTGCTGTATTTGAATTCTTCCCTAAGCTGATTGTACAAAATTCAAAAAATATAGGATTTTCAGCCATAAATTTAATAGCATGGAATACTTCAACAACAAACGATGCTCTCTTTTTTATATGTTTTCATCATCACAGACTGGTAGATTATCACAGGACCACAAAAAAAAAAAAAAAAATAAGCGGAAGGGTCCCTTTGAGCAACAATGCATTTCTTATGTATTTTGAGGCGCTGACTTTATTCCCATCGTCTAAATTGCTCTATCACATCACAATTCTTTTTTATTAACGAAAAACGTGTCCATAAGCGGCAATGCTTTTATTTCAGTAATTAAAGTAGGCCCCATGTTAACAACTGTAAAAAATTGTGATGTGATAGAGTACTTTAGACAATGAGAATGAAGTCAGCGCCTCAAAATACATAAAAAATGCATTGTTGCTGAAAGGGACCCTTCCACTTATTTTTTTTGTGGTCCTGTGTTATCTTTTAACGTTTCAACGCATACATTTTAATAGTGTTCGATGACCTATATTTTTGATATTTTTGGCGAAAAAAATTATGCTGATTCCTGGTTATAATCGTTAAAATCATAGAACCTATTGTTACATTGACAAAATAATAAAAATTAAAAATTTTCAGTATAATACGCTTTGTTATAAACGTTTAGTGATCGTAAGTAACTTATGGACCAAATAATTTTCATTATTTTAAACCATAAAGAGACTACAAAATTTTTGGCTCATATATTCAAATATCTTTTATTAAGAGCCATTGAAACCAATAATTAAATATTCTCTTTCAGCCAAGGTTTTTTAAATCCATAATTATTTTGTGTTCTTATACAATAAATATACATTATCCAAACGATGATTTTTTTTTTTCGGTGATTCCAACTTTTTCAAAACTTTCTTCTTGCGATTTATTTTTCATCATCGCAAAAGTGGGTGCAGATTAAAAAACATCATGACTTTTTTGATTAGCAAGATAAATAACTATTTGAATTGAAAACATATTTACCGAATTAACTGCGTAGTACAAAAGAAAAAGAGAAAAGCTCATGTGAAATAATTGAACTATGAAAGAGTGAATCGGGTATAAAAGCAGATAAAAGGGTGGAGAACGGACTTGCAGGAAAGTCGAGCAGAGATGGTTGTGTACGTGCACGTAGATATAGGTAGGAGGTGGACAAGAATTTGAGGGTTTGAGTTTATGTTATTAAATGCTGTTTGGAGTTAATTACGTTCTAATATCTCTCATGGGATTAAAAAACAAATAATGTTCGCCTACGTCTAAATTTTTTTCTGTGGGCGTTTAATGCCCTTTTACTTATTTTTTTATTTTTTTAATAAATACCTACTTGCGTAGTGTATTCATTTGAAAGATTTATTAAGTCTTTAAAGGGTTTTATAACTATAGTAATATTGCAATTAGAATTACATTTTGAAATAACATCGGGTTGAGGTATTGTGGGTTTTTCACTTGTCGTGAACTGGATCCCGGGAAAGACCATCAGAAAAAATCTGTGTGCCCCAAATTGAATTGAACCCACGACCCCTCGAGCTGCGTTATATCAATGGCTAGCACGCTAACCAACTGAGCCAACGACGAGCTCATGCCCTTTTATAACTGTGAGGTAGAACCAGACAGTCAATTTTTTTTGCACTAATGTTTCATAGTTGTGACAATACTTATTTGCACGATGTTTTTTTTTTTATAACTGAATTACTAAAAATTACAAATGTTTTTTTTTTCTTAACCTGACTCGTTACTTGATTCAGAAGTACTTTGTATATATCTACAATTTATTTCTAAACAATTTATGTTAACAAAAATTAAGTAGATAGATTCAATCAATGTCCGAAAGGTATATTTTTTTTTTTTTTTTTTTTTTTTAACAATCATTGAAAAAGAAACCGAATTGTTTTGAAAAACTTTTATTTGTTTGAAAAAATCCATTGTAAAAAAGAGTAGGTGTCGAAAGTAGCCATTTTTAACAGATTTCAACATCGTTTAGTCGAATAAATGAGGCAGAAAAGGCAATTAAAAATGAAAAATCGTCCACACCCTCGAAATGAATGAGACCGTCATGCAGACCTGCTTTCCCACTTGTGTCTGCACTTCACTCAGACCCATTACGTGCACGTATATACCACACATGTGCCAAACGCACGAGCAAACTTCCGTACGAGCTTATATTGCTGGACAAAAAGAAGAATTTAAGAAACAGCGGTGCGTCACAGTTCCAGTAAAGATGCGTCGGTATGAAGACAAAAAAAATGGAGGCAAGCACACAGCGCCCGCGCGATCAGCTCGAAAAATAGAAAAAAGGGGAGAGAAAAGAAGGCTCATCTCCTCCCCAATCACGCCCCCAAATTAGTGTAGTAGCATAGAAGTCGGTACACTCCAAACGAGTTTGTAGCACATTCATATATTTTAAGCTGTTCTCAGGTCGCACGTCACGCTCATATCTTTTTGACGTATGTCGTGTGCCATGTACATGTTTATTTATTTTTTCTCAATCATAGAAAGAGGTTTTAGTGCAAGCTGCGAAAAATAAGTAGCTGTCCTTTTATTAAGATAGCGTAGCTCGTAGATGATACTAAACAAAACTAATTTTTTTTTCAACCAATAAGTCAAGTTGTAAAAATGATAATTGTTGGATGCAAACTCGCAAAATGTAAATTTTGTATTCACTCCGTGCACAAACGGCAAAAATTGGGTTTCAAAGTTCTAATTTTAGTAGTTTGTGCACGGAGCAAATCGGACTACACCATTAACATTATAAAAATGACATTAGGGTCAAATACATACCACTCGTATGAGCCAATTGAGAACGAAAGCTGCTGTGGAATAGTGTGTTCCATAATGAAACGGTGGAATGCTATCGTGCTCCCAGCTTTGGAATCGTTCTTCGAAGTAAGCTCTTCTGCTTGGGTTTATGGCTCCAATTGGCTGTAATGCACAGGAAGGAAAATAATGATAGGTATTACATAATTCATAGTTGTGTGAATTGATTAAGGTTCTCGCAAACATGCGAACAAAAAACAGCAAAGAATCTTATTTGTACAGCCATCTCACCTTTGACAGATCACGATAGTTGCTGGGCAAGCTCAAATCGAGCTCTTTTGTTTCGTAATTTGTTAGTACCCATGGAAACACTGGATACTGATTGAGGTCATTGTAAGTTCGCCCTAAAAACATTAAAATAAAATTAACGAAAATTTTAAAACATAGCCTTTATTTATTTAAAACAATCCTTATGTCCCTGAAAAGCAATGTGACTTTTCTTCTAATTGACCAGTGAATAACCAGTACAAACAATACTCACGATTAAGATTAGTTTTTTTTTAATTTTACTGATAAAAAAAAGTATTTTTGCAGGATTCTTATTCAATACACAATACATGAAAAGTGTAGTTTGGTAACAATGGTGTGAATAGTTAAGAAACGTAAAAAATATCTGATACTTGCAGAATCTTTTATACTCCAATGGAATTATTTACAATATTTTGATACAGCCATTAAATTACCAAGACATTACCTGAAAAATACTTACGCAACATTTTTTTTTTTTTTTTTTTAATAAGTTTTAACATACTACATCTGTAACAAATGCTAAAGATTTTTAAAAAATGTAATTTTGTATGATGTAAGTTAGCGTTGGGTGAATAATGGAACTGATATTCCACACTCTACGAAAACTTTGCCAAACAACAAATTAAAAGAAAAAATAAATGAAAACAAAAAATTAAAAAACTTAAAAACTTTTAATAAACGTTTATAATATTCAAGATTTAACATATATATAACTGAATATACATGTATATGTTCTCATAGTTTTCACCCAGGAAACTTTTTATCATGATTTTCACAAGAAAATGACATGTTAGCATTGTTTTTGATTCACATACTCATTTTGTAAGGAAATAATTGCAATCATGTTTTTATTCATACTTGTTTTATAGTTATTGCAGCAGCAATAATTGTATAATGAAAAATTTGTCAATTAAAAAACAGTCTAATTAAAATCTATTATAAATCTGAGACATCAACTTTTTTACTTATGTAACGAAAAAAAATATTGTAACAAATGATTTTACAAAGTGATAAATTTAGACTAGCCGTCAAAATATTTACCAAACGGATTTTCACAATAATGTCATATATTTCTGATCAACGACCAAGAATTCCAGCCAAAGAGTAAGCTGACTGAAGATCAACAAATAATTGATGTTTTGGCAAAGAAAGTTATTTTTACATTATTGTAATAATTTGAAATAAAAATGAGTTTTTGAATTGAATTAAACACCGTGCCCATAAAATTTACGAAAGAAGTTACTAAACAGAATTAATATGAGGTTTCAAGAAGTAACCCATTTTTTTCATCTCTTTGCAGTTTTTTTTTAAATTAAAACATAAAAAAACAAAATCAGACTCTAATGTTCATTTTTAGATGAAAAAAGCGATTCTCTTAAAGTGAGAGCAGCCGGCAAACTCACATAACTCACAGCCGGGCGACTAATCCCTCTCGTCAGGGGCGGTAGAGGTCTTACTCTACCGTCTAAAATCACATTCGCGTTGCATTAGCTATACCAATACAAGCCAACACACGAGGTGGAGGCGCGTGTCTCTTTTCCAAGCAAAAGGCCTGAGGCTTCTCAGAGTACCTCGAACTCGAGCCGCTCGATTTCTTGTCCTTTGCTTTTGGTTAATTAAAACGTGCTGCCGGCTTCTTATATCATACACGCGTTATGCGGAGTGTCAACGAAATTGTCAAAAAAAGGGATAAAGAGAGGGGGTCCTCGTTGTGATCGTTTTTCTGAACGTGAAGTACTATTTTTTGCGCTTCTGGTGCTAGTGCAGAGGACTGAAATATATTTCGTTGAGGTAATGATGAATGGAGAGAGAGAAAGCGAGCGAAAGAGAGGAGAAATGGGGCTAGTTGATTTGAATTATTATATTCGCGGAAGTTTTATTAGATAGTCGGAACGATGCTATTATTGTTTGTAGGTCCCACACCAAGTGTAAATCACCAAGTTTGCTGTGGTAGATCATAAAGTTACAAGTTAATTTTTTTTAATAAAAATGGCATTTTTTTGTTGGTTCCTAAAATAATTTATCACTACGCGTAGGTAGTTTTTCTTTATGACTAAATTATAAACTTATGTTTTACTTTAATTCTACTTGATATTTGGTTGTTTTGATGTATGGATCTTTATAGACATTTTTCATAAATAAGCCCAATTCCATCCAAGTTTCTTGTAAAATACGATAGTTTGAAATTTGCACCTCACCATTGGCACCAAATACATGAAGAATTGCCGTTGGTGACTACAGCACTGATTTTAATCGTATGATATTGATTACTACATTGATAGATACTAATTTAAACGTAGTACATGTCATGTACTGGATAAATACTAATACCGAATCGCGTTCTTTGGTATCCGTGGCATCATCTATTCATACTACAATTTGTTTTTGTACACCAACCCTATTTCAGTAAGTTTATGTGTGTTTACAAAAATTACAGAGATTACAGAATTATAAAAAAAATTTTCATAGGTTTATTTCTTAAACCATAACGTAACTTGTTACAACCCTCAAAAAATTTTCATAAAAAAATCAAGCGGTTTTCTGAACTGATCCTTTATTTTTGATAATCAATCAGAAATTAACAGACAATGTTACAATATTACTTGTTCATTTTTTAGTTCTGTGTACCTTCTTTCGAGAAAAAAAAGAATTGATCATCATCATACAAACACAAAATTTTCTGGGCCTTAAGGGTTAACACACTCACTTTGGGCCATCTTTCGCTATGTACTTCAAAATGATCTTCCGCCATATCCTATTATTTACTAGAAAATACCGGAATAACTATCTGGAAATAAGACTCTGAATTAAAGAACATCGTCTCATTATGTAAAAAATAGACGGTAGCGTTGGCAGTGAATAAACAGTAAATGAAGAAAAAAAAAAAAAAAAAAAAAAGGAGTGAAAGGGCGAAGAACCAACAGTGAAATCAAGCGGCTGCGCATCAAAGCTATAATTAATGATAGCCCCTTGGTGAGAGAGAACTCGGCTGGAGAGTTCTGACAGCACAAAACTCACTATCTACCCCCCCCCTCTCTCTGCCTCGTAAATTCATACACTCATGTGTACACGCAAAGGAGCCCTCCATCCGATCCATTGCTTTTTCCAACCCTCACTTTTTTTTTTTTTTTTTCTTCATTTTCCCCCACCTATCATGTGGCACTTTGGATGCGCACGCCAGACAGATCCATTCTTAACGCACTCGTTTCTCGAGCACTTATCTTATTTCCTCCGAAATGCCCAAAGTAAAGTTTGCATGTCAGAGACCGGAAGGAAAAAAAAGAACCGTGTGCGGGTGGGCAGTCGGTCGTTTTTTTTCTCCCTTTTGCTGATGTTTATAATTTCTCTCTGCGGTGGTCCACCTTCTCTCTCTGGCGCGCGCGCGTCTCTTTTCTCGATCGACTCCGAGCTGTAGGTACGCACCTATATGTCATGTAACGTGCGTGAAAAAAGTGTGGGCGCACCAGAAGGGGATGCGATGATACGTGCCCACTTCAATTTTTTTTTCTCCCTCTGGTATACTCACTTTTTCTTGTTTCGTCCCTGCCCTCATAGCGTCGACTGTCCAAATCTTAGGGCTCAAGAATTAATTACATTGCATCCGTATACATCCTGCCTGGCTTGTTTTTGCTGTAGGGGGTTTTTTAATGAGATTTTAATTTAAAGCGACGTAATGTTTATTATTTTTTTGAGATGTAGAAGTTGTTCCAAGTGTAGTTTAGATTCTCGACATGAACTTATTAAATATTGTGTATGTTTAGTTGTAAAAAAGCAATACATATGTTTAAATTGAATCTCTGATATGCACTAATCTTACGCTTGACTTTTTTTTAAAGAATTATTAAATACGATGCATATGTAAAACTTTCACATGTAGTCTCTGCTCTCCATGCATCCTCTAACAATAATGCAATGTTTTGCTGTGCAATATACACAAGTTCCCTTAATATCATTATGTACATTTTGATGTCTTCCTTTTTCTGTATTTTCCTGTGCTCCTACGTTCTATGGATAACGTAAAAATTCTTTCTTTTTTACGCACTTTTTCCTTATTATAAGTTAATTATTGTAGTTGTTAATGAAGATTACTTGAAAAAAAAAAATTGACTTAAATTTGAAGGGACATGATGTTGATTTAGAGAGAATTATTAATGAAGCCTTCAAAACCTGCACTGGTTCTGCATTTTAATCAGAACAATTAATTTAAAATAGTTGATAGACATCTTCAAGTATAATTTTCATAGAACTATTACAATCGAGTCCGGAAATACCGGTTACACAATTTCATTGAATTTAAAACTAACTTCAATATATTTTATAATTAAGTATATTTTCAATACTTCTTTCACAAATAAGAATACATTTATTTGTAAAACTTTTCAATATTTTATTAGTCACCAATAACTTATCTCACATACAAATTTTTTTTAATGGAGTATTGACGTTACATCTTGAGTAGAACATTTGGTAGCCACTTGTTACAGTACAAAAAATACAACTTACTTTCTCATTTATCTTCAAGTAAACTTCCTTTTATAGATTTGAAACATAATTTATGTGAGAACTTTCTGTCGAAAAAATAAAATAATTTTTTTGCTCAATGTATAGTACTGCCGAAACCTACTCGGTCAAGATATCAATGAAACTATATGAACGACTAAATTTTGTTCGTATGTTAAGCTGGGTGGTGAATGAAGAAGTTTGTGTTAGCCTATTTCATGTCCTTCTGAAACAATAATTTAGTGGAGCTAAGACGAACTAAAGATAAATGTACGGACCTTTTGGCAGCTACATCATCAGCAGGGCCTGTGAATCTGTCACGAAAGAGATGAGGCAAAAATTTTAATAGTTATCTGTTATGATTTGTTTACATTCTATAAAAACAACATGGACCTCTATTTTTTGGTTTTTCGTAAAAAAATATTTTTGTCGGTAAAAAATGAGGGTTTCTTAGAAACACTTTAAAAATGGTTCGATGTAAACAGAGAAACATAAATGGGTTAATGCATCAGAATACTTTTATTTCAATTATGGGAATATGCTCGTGTGAGTATGAGTGTGTAATTTTCACTGATTTTAGTAAGATTTCTATTTTTTTTTTTTTTAAATAAGTTTACCACGACAACTTTTCGATTTAATATGAAATAATTTGATCGATTTAACGCGTTAAAAAATAGTTAAAAGTATTGCATGAATACATTTATCTATATGGTGAGAAAATTAGTAAATTTCAAGTAAGCAATGAAAATAGTTAAGTAAAAGTATCAAACTAATATAGAATATAAGATCAATTTTCTCGATTGTGAGGGTTCGTATATTGATTGATGAAACAAAATGAAAAGTTTCTATCTGACTGGATAAACATAAAAAGGTCTATGAAAAAACGTCTTAAATTTTTAACAATAGTGATCGAATTTCTGAATTTGGTCGTTTGCTCAACATTAAAAATATTACTATTTTGGTCGACAGAGTAACTTTGAGTTTAGGGTAAATATGGCACGATATTAACATTGCTCGGCGTACTTTTCTTTGAAAGAATATCAAAGCTTCCTTCGAAACTTTATCATAATCGAGACAAATTTGAAATCTTTCATGTGCATTTAGATGGTGTTTAATAAATTATTCCAGGAACTGAGAAATGTAGCAAACGGCCAGCGGAACGTTGCGCATTATAATTAATCGGACATATTGACTCGTATGATTGATTCTCCTTACAATATTATATCTACAAGGGATACATTACTCTCATAAAAATTAATGAAACCCAAGTTTCATTTTTCAGCATTACTGAGAATCTATAAACGAAATCAACCATATTGAATGGTAACTGGCCGATGGAATCTTGAGATACAACCGTATACATACGTAATCAAACATATACTTATTCACACTCAACTAGATAATTTTTATCTTAACAGAGAATGTTTGAATATTTTAATTTCATGATTTTTTGACTTTTGTAATTAAAATTAAACAAAAAGGGGCCAGAGAAATCAAAACCTCAATAATCGTACTTCGAATTTAAAGATTGAAAAACTTGCTTGCGTGCATCGAGACTCATTTTCATCCATAAATTGACTGTAAGGATTCTTGTTACTGGTTACGATTGCGCAAATATTAAACTAAGTATTCACACAAATTATTTATCTACCAAGATAACCAACCGTCGTAACTTGAAAGTAAGATTTAAAAGGAAAAAAATTGAATGTATCGTAAATACGCTTTCCAAGCTCACACAGATATAATGCACACACGTTACAACAGTTATATTATCATATTAGCCAAGGAGTAACTGTTATGAAATATGAGTAAGCTCACACCACGAGTTGCAATAAAAGGAGGTGCGTAATTAAATTCGAAAAATACATATCGCTGGCTGTTGTAGCGCACTGCTGCAAATGAGAAGAAAATAGAAAGCTGAGAATGTCCAATACTTTTTTCCATTAATTGTAAATATTATAATCATAATTGATACTGCCAGCATCTCGAGGTACAAAAAAAAAAAAAAAAAAAAAAAAAGTAAACAAAGATAATAAGTACTTCATTGCACGGAGCTTTAGCAATTAGAGGAACAAAAGTAAATATCTGCAGAAGCAATAAACTAAGTTCAGGTGCACCACACTGAGGCCGAAAAATAATCATCCGAGCCGATAAAGGGAGTATAAATAAATGCAAAGCACGAAATCAAAGGCAAGCCGTCCGTTCGGCTCTCGTATCTCTTTTTGATCGCCCGCACGGACGGCCGGCGCCAGCAGATACAGCTCAGGATCTTTAGGTGCACATCCCCACGGGCCATTTATCCAAGCAATTAATATATAACGCTCGTAAATACGAAACGCGCGCGCCGCGGGCTGCTTGTACTCTTGCCACGGAAATCCGCGTATAATTACACGTCTCTTCACTCGTACGCGTCATTAACATCCCTCGCTCGCGCGCTTTCGCCCCGTGCAAGTGCTGCGTCGTAAACTCTCTACCATTTTTTTTACTTTACTTGTTTGCCGTGTTGCGAAAATTTTCCTTTTTTTTACAAGTGGTATAACATTGTGTACTGCATCGTATATAATGCGTGTTTCTCATGCGATAAACATGCGATTGTTATTTAATTTTAAGTTTTTATTCTGTTGCCACTTTACTTGATATGTTTACAATGTTATGAAAAAAAAATATATAAATAGATAAAGTAATAAAAAAAAGTCAAAACTCGTAGCATTTTGTACAGTTTAATTTCGTTCTAATTTTTTTATATCATAAACAAGTATTTTATGGTCTTTTGTAACATAATTTCGACGAACCGAATGGAGAATATGTGTATTTTTAACAATGCTAGGAACAAAAACTATAGATGCAAATGCAGTAAATAATAAAAATGCTAATGTAGTAACATGTTATCCCAGTGTCCACAGTTATAGGGCTGAATAGTTGGCCATTCTATTATAAGATAGCACTATTGGTACTTTAATTACCGTTCGTACATTGATGAAACCAAACAAAGATTTTTACGTAGAAATCGTTGTTAGCTCACAAGAAAAAAAGATTAAGTTTATACAATAAAATGTTTGCGCCCTACTATCACTGTAAATTGTAAAAAACGTTTAAAAAAGACCAAAAACTCGTTTGACAGCATCCAACTTTTCTATGATCAAATTTGTGACCCAAATGAAATGTAAAAAGTGCCTTACTCATACGGAAAAATGGCTGAAATTCCCTATACCTGATAAATTTATCGTCAGAGCTAAAGTGTAGCTTCAACACAAACTCAACAACCAGGCTACAACCGTACATTCACTAATGATGTTATGAGTTGACCTTTTAATGATCTACAATTTTTTAATGTCAAAATCTAGTTTTAAATGTCAACGTCGTATCAAAGTTAGCAACGAACCACTTTCTCATTCTTATTTTTTTTTTGCCTTCTACCCCATTAGGACTGCACCTCATATAAAAATGTACTGTACAATTAAGTTTTAATTTTAATTTTATCTATTAATTATCTTGTAAAGTTACAATCGAAATAGTAATCATTTTTTTTTATTTTTCAAAATTTCCATTAATTTTCCAAGCTTAACGAAGGTTTTCAATTTTTACGTATTGACATTTTTAGTATAACTTGACACTTTAATTTTATCCAACTATACACTTTCTGCGTGACAACTAACTTAAGTATTGTTTTAGGACATCTTTTTTTTTTTTTCAATACAATGATGTCCACCATTAAAATTTATCATGAAAACATTAAATGTACAATACATGAGTGGTTCTCAAATTAAGAAATAAGGTCTAAGGTAACCTGAAAAAAATTTATCTTTCTTCAAGGTACCGTCACGGGACAAAATTTGTCGTGTTCCCCATACCCTATGAAATATCAGAAAAATCGTGTACTTAAAAAAAAATTCGAGGTCATTTTTTATTGATGTTTTTTTAAAATTAATGTTCTACAAAGAACCTTTGTGAGTGTCTGTCTTCAGTTTCCATAAAGTTGGAATATGTTGTAGAACCTACCAGTAGAAAACTAACGTAAACAATAAAACCTTAAAAAAGCAGTCTTGTGAGAATCCTATGATTTTACTTCGACCATCAAAACTAATGCAAATTAGTCAATCATTAACCATCAAGATACTGACCCAACACCCTGACACCCATAAAAATTTTCTCGAACGGGCCAGCCTGTAGTCATTCGATCCCAGCAAGCCTCTATAATTACAGACCACCCTCGCTTTTCGACAATCCTCATCACCAACCCCAAGTAAAATCCGATAAGGCTGATCGAACGTGCCGATTGGGCAGCCCCGGCACGCGTCTCCTTACACCAAACTCGAACCCACTGATATGCCTGCAGGCGGTCGGTGATTTGACGTTGAGAATCGCGAGCGAGGGAAAAACAAAGCGAAAACCAACCCATCGCCGGAAGCAAAGGTAGGAAGAAAAGCCGTGAAATTAAAACGGAGCACCGAAAGAGGGGACAATGGGACGTAGGGTGCAAGAGGTGGGGATAAAGCCCCTGAGATGGAGGATTACCCACTATAGTTACCCTCGCGCATCCTCTAGTGTCTCAGACTCTTTTACCCTATACACATGCGTCTGTCTGTATATGTAACTGTGCGCGTGCACGGGGCGAAGGGGACCAAAGCCGCGAGAGCTCGCCTGATGGAGAACATCCCTAATGCGCTCCGACAGACTCCAGTCGCGCGTGCAGCATGCCCGGCGCGCCACGGTATGGAGCACAGCTCCGCTCCACACTCAATGGGCACTAAGTCCCCCGAGTCTGTACCCATGCGTGTGTGGATACACACGTGCAAGTTCGTACGCGCCACACACCTTTTTTTGTCTTTGTACTTCGTATACGCGTGAGTGAGAGCTCGAGACTATCGAGCGTGCGCTTGTTTTGCTTTTCTTTTTTTATTCCCTTCCTTTTGTACGAACGTACACTGCCCAGACACTTTTCTTCATTTTATTTTACACATCCCCGCAGAATTAATAAAAGGGCTCCTGCTACCACGTATTATCATAATTACTTCTGTTGTCTGTACTTTTGATGCTTTTGCCTCTCGCTGCAAAGATTTTTATGGTAAATTCAAGTATCCCTTTGCCATGCACGAATACTCAAAGATGTATCGATTACAGTGCAGTAAATATTGAAAATCGTGAGCCTTATGGTCAATTACAGGCATTTTTTTATCGCGAGAGAGTTAGGATGAAAATATAATCGTGCCTGCTGTCAATGTTTCATCATTGATTTGTTGGTAGAGCGTAGGTCTTAAAGGTAAACGTCATTGGATACGAAACTTGAGCTATGTTACCGAAATACTTGTCTGTGTAAGAATACCCGCAAGTCTCAATGCTCATTGAAATTACTTAACAACTATAAATGACCAAGTTGGATCTAAACTTTAAATGTAATAAAGGCAAATAATTAGAAGAAAAGTTGTGCATTGCTCTATCAATTATCTTGTCAATTAATGAAGGAACTTTACAAACGCCGGGAAAGAAAACTTACCTGCTATTGTGTTCAGAAACATGATGTACTCGAAGTTATTGATTTCCCGACGCTGCCATTTTTGGGTCATATTAGAGTTTCTCATTAGCTGACGGGGTGACATCATGGAAACTCTCCTGTAAACATAAATAAACTCGTCATTAAAATAATTTTAGCATTAATCTTCTAACTGAATGGAAAAGTCAAATTTCGCGAGCTATCTTGGCAAAGTGCATCCAAAAATTACCGGGACCTTAACATCACTTGGCCAATCGAGAGCTCATAACTCAGCGGCCATAAAGACTCAATTAAAATTCCCACTTTTCAATCCTGAAAGCCCTCGCGCCGGCGAATGCACATACGAGCTGTGCTCATAGATGAGCGGGCTGGTAAAGTTTTTTTGCCTTCATTCCGAAAGCATGTGCGTCCTTCCAGCTATCAAAACGAGAACACGAGGAATAAGGGACTGTTTTTGATGCCACAAAGATCAAAAAGCTTGTGCGACGCCGTAAATTAGCGCGTGCGAGAGAGAGATAGAGAGAGCTCCATGGGTTTTATGAACTCTTGGGGCGATAGTATCCGATTCGGAATTTACAAGCTCAGTTCTTTTAATAGTATCCCAGTGGAAGTATTGAAACTGGTGACTGTATACATTCCTACAAGAGTGTGAGAGAGATTGTAATGGTGCACGTTGGAGTGCAAGAGAGATGGGAAATACAGGATGTATAAGTAACAAGGGTTGCATGCGATAAGACTAGGGAACATACTCCTGAATGTAAATTTTTTGTTCAACGCTGATTTATTAATATGTGAGGTACCATTGTAGTGAAGGTAATATCAAAGTTGCAAAACATGTACAATGGACATTTTATTCAGTCTTTGCAGAAAGCACAGTTCTTCTTTTTTGGCAGTGTTACATAACTTTGAAAATTAGGGAGTAAGGACATCTTTCGTTGCAAATTACGTTTCCCGTTTAATGGTCAGTGCCTAATATTTATGGTCAGTGAATCTCTTTCGCACCACTCTTCTATTTTTTCCCCCAACAAAATAATTTCTCCAGCCAGACTCTTGTCTCCATTCACCTTATCTCACACGTAAAACAGATGGTCTGGAGTAACACAAAATCGCGAATAGGGTCTCTGTTGTCGCAGCTCAAATTTTTGAAAGATATAAGTATTTCCTGCAAGAAAATAGAAAGGATACAGGTATACGTGCAAATTAGTGTGGGAGAGATCCAGGGTTAATATAGTTTACTATCAGACGTGGGGTTTTTTGAAGTTTTATTTTTTTGAACCACCTCATGGCTGACGCTGATACTGGCTTTCTGAGGTCATTGTGAAACTAGTTCCCAAAATCATAAAAATAACCAAATTAGTTCCTAGGTTATAAAAAATTTTATTAAATTGGGTTCCCTGGTCATGAGACAGCATATTGAGGTTGGTTTCCAACTCATTGAGCAGCCTGATGAAATGGGTTCCTAGTCCATTCAATTTCTACTCATACATGTTTTCAAAGAATATTTCCAAAATCAACACATTTTTTGGTTCTAGTAGTGCTCTTACTAGAATGTCTACTTTCACCACTTGAAAGAAAACATACTTTCTAATAACGTGGGAATCAATTTGACTATGTTTATGTATGTAGAACTGATCTAAGAACCGATTTGATACCTCCATTTTTTGGCTTATGTGTATTTTGTAACGATTAAACCCAGTGACGGATTTACCAAGAAGCAAAGGAAGCAACTGCTTGGGGCCCCGCTAGGACAGGGGCCCCAAAAATTGCAAAATGTTGAAAAAATTTTTAGAAGAACTGGAAAAAATAAAAATGAAAAAAAAAAATCCAATATGTGATTAATTTTGATCAGATATTGTCGCTGAAACAATTTAAACTTATTAGTTCAAAACAGCCTTTCGCGCGCGTAGCTGGCGCTTCGGTCGCTTGTGTTTGAATGCTCAATATCGCGTGCGGAGTCGAGTACCAGACGCCGCTATGCGGCGTCTGCCACTTGAGGTAACTGTTGGTTGACGGACAGACTTTTTAGGTTATTTTAAAATCTTCGACTAATAAGGTGCTAGATTTTCTTGTTTGTTTATGCTATGTAGGTAAGTTTTATAAAACAATGTGTTCACGGTTTACCTGTCGTCAGGGGGGAGGACGGTATAATGAGATAGGAGAGGGAGAGGGAGAGAGAGAGAGAGGGAAAGGAGGGGGGTTGATGTGAGTTGAGCCCACGAGAGCTGTCCTCTCCACGAGTGCCAGGAGGAGCTGTCCTCCTCTCCACGAGCCCCACGAGAGCTGTCCTCTCCACGAGAGGCTGTTCCTTCCGCGAGTACTACGAGAGCTGCCCTGTCTGTGAGCTACACGTTCGTCTCCTGAGAAGCTGCTTATCTCTGCATACACTCCTTATTTCTATTCTCTATTTTCGATTTTACTGTTTAGTTTTTGGCTAACAAAATTATGAAGAGGTCGTACGAGAGTGGTTACCAAAAAAGGAAGAAGAGGGCAGTCGCTGAGGAAATGGTTAAAACCATTCCTAAAATAACTCAATTTTTTAAAAATGAAACTGACGCCCTGCCTGCAGATGAAAATCAGTCCGTTGAAGAAAGTCCGTCCAGTTTTGTTGCAAATTTACATGATCCTAGTGAGTTGATCGAGAGTTCAGAAGAGATTCCGGATCAAATTTCAAATGTTTCTGTAGACGACGCCGACGTGACGAACGCACATGGTCATCGTCCAAACCTTTGTGATGATGCTGGATTATGGCAGAATTTGTCCTCGACTGATATAGAATACAGGATTCGGAAAGGTCCAAGTGATTGTAAACACAGTGAAGGGCCATTTGACAGCTCCAGACGAGTTTTTAACGGGACGGCAAGACATTGTACTTCAAATATTTTCCGTGGAATCAAAATGAATGGAGAACAATACTCGAGAAAATGGCTGCTTTATTCTCCGCACACGGGCAATGTTTATTGTTTTGTTTGTTCGTTGTTTTGTCCAGGCAACACTCGTTTTAGTAGCGATGGATTTTCCGACTGGCGAAATTGTAACGACGTACAAAGCCATGAGGGTAATCCAAAACATCGGGATGCTCTGTTAACGTTTTTAGTCAGACAACGACAGCAAAATGTCTCATGTAACCTTACCGAACAAGTTGACAGGGAGCGGGAATACTGGGTAGAAGTACTTAAACGCGTTCTTGCAGTTAGTCTCATTAGATTATTCCTAACACTGCCGATAGCTAATAGTACAGGGGAGAGATCGTTCAGTGCATTAAAACGAATCAAAAATTATTTACGTTCTACCATGGGTCAAAAAAAAGTAAGTGATTTAGCTTTACTGTTTATCGAAAAAGACAAGCTTCGAAACCTCAACTTTGATGATGTTATTCATCAATTTGTGACTGAAAAAAGTAGGAAGAAATTGTAAGTTCTTAGATAGTTATAAGAAATTTGAGTAATATATTTATAATGCAATATTACATTTGTACTTTTTATTTCATAATTTTATGAAAGGGGGGAACTTAAATTTCAAAACGAGGGCCCCAAAATCCTGAAGTTGCTTGGGGCCCCGCCTTAGGTAAATCCGGCACTGATTAAACCTACATATTGTGATGATAAAATAGCGTTGCGTCGTTTAAAAATGAATGATCATTAATTATACGCAATAACAATTACTTTAGTAGCAACAAAAATCTGTATTGAAACTGTTAACAGAAGAAAAAGACTACATGTGTTTTTTAAAACACTGTTCAAAGAATGGATGCCTGAGGTTTTAGCACCTCAAGTGTGAAAACTAGGTGAGGACTCCTAAAACAGTGTAGTGAGAGTTGAAAAATTTTGTTGAACGATGCGAAGAAAACTTAGAAAATAAAAGAACCAAATGATAGAGAAAGAGATAAAAAAAGTCGGCTGTGAGAAGAAATGGGGAGAGACAAAAAGAACACATAAGGTCTTTTGCGAACGTTTTAGGGATGTACAGGTAACATTTGCCTTTTCGTATATATAAACTCTAAAAAAGAGACCAGGTCTACGAGAGCACTTGAACCGAAAAAGATAGAGAGTTGTCTGATTATATGTGTGTAACATCTTACCTTGTCTGTGGAATTCCGTATTTGATGCCGACGCCAACTCGCGGCAAGGCCTTGATCACCTTCTTCACAGTTGCCTGATCCGGGAAAACGAAGAAGATCGAGGCTGAAACGAAGTAAAGCAAGTGTTAAGGGAGCAATGTACAAATTTTTACTTTGAAACATGCTGAATCATTATGCATTTGTACTTCTTTCCTAAATAATAAAAATATGCTTCTGACGGATGATTTTTCTGAAATCATTATGCGTGAACCATTTTCTGTGTTATTAATTTTTTTAATTTTTTCTTGCTATGGACTATGCAATGCAGTATAATAGCTCATTTTTTCTCGAGAGCTTTACAATTAAAAAATTAATTTTTCTTATGAATAATATAATGATACATTTTTTGGAGATATTCTATTGATATAAAATCATGTAGCTAATCATATAAAATTAAAATACGAAGTTCTTTATGAATATAGTATTTGTCTATTTTAGTTACTGCAATAAGTTACTTACAACATAAGTATAACTTTTTTGTAAACGGTAGATGCTATGAATAAAAGAAAAATAACAGTGCCAACAAAAAGATCTCAAACTTCTTTATAATTTTAAAGAATATGCATGTGTTTTGTCATGGTGAAACGTTAAAAATGTTTACTAAAGTGTTATCCCTCATTTCAGTCCATTTTCACGTTCCTGTTGTGATAACTAGGCCATCCAGTTCGGTTTATTAGATATACAACATAAGACAGACACTAATAATGCAAGTTATACAATGTTTAAGATTTTGTGATTCGGATAAATTCACAAATAAATTATTGCCTTTTTTCATTGTAAACATTACGAAAAATTTAAATTAGGGAAAAGCTTTAATGTTTGATTGTCCTACATGCAAAATTGTCAATCCACAGTTGAATCCTCGCTTGACTACGGGCTATCAACAAAATCTCTTTTATTTTTTATATCCTATAAACTGTAAGACTGAATTCATCTTATGCAACTAAACTTACAGGATCATATTTTAATATCTTATTCTTGAAAGTGAAACAGTTATTTTAATACAAGTTTTAGTTACTCTTTTACGCTTGACTTATTTTACTGATATTTGAATGAATCAAGCAATTAACATTTTTCAAACAAGTTTCTTAAGTACAATTTTTTTAAATGTTTATCTCCAACTTTACGTTTAAAATAAATTAAGTTATAAAATTTAATGTAACTAATTCTATTTTCTAAGCTTTGAAACTATTCAAAAATTCATCGTTGGTTTGAGTGCATAAATAAATTAATATGATAAATTACCAACTAAGATTATATCAACAAAAATATACATCATCCTGAATCTCACGTGCCAGACACAATTATCAAAAATAACAGAGAAGAAGCGTCCTTCCATCTCTTTTGTTGCGTGAAACGAATCGCGCACGACCGTCAATCAAACGTAATCCACGACCCCCGCAAGGGAGTAAAAATGGAAAATCATTTGTTTTAATTATCAGACGAAGAGAATAACGCTTGAAAAACGGTTTTTCCAATTTTTAGTGCTAAGAGCTTGCGAGGGTGGGGGGGAAATTGATAAACGATACACCGTTCGAGCGCGCAATACGTGCATTAAGAAAATCGCTACGACGCGGTATAGTTACATACAAAAAGGGGAGGCTGAGCTGCGTGTTAGTGACCAGTAGCGGTATAGCGTGCGTCCTGGTAGTTTATTCCAACTCTCCGTTGGGAGAAACGAAGGTTTTTGTTGCCCAGCGTTTAAGCGTGAAATTCTGTTCCACGAAAAATTTCAGGGTTTCGAGAATCTTCTGGTTGCAATAACCTTAGAAATGGTTGATTTGTGATAGATGTATAGAATTACACTAACTTGTTTAATTTATTATTTTCTTTTTTTTCTTTTTTTGTTTAAGTAATTTGAATAAAATAACATTGAAAATTTCCTTTTGCATCATTCATATTTTAATGAACCTGAAAAATATTACGTCACTGGCAGCAACAAACGTGCAACAATATGAATTTATAATGAAAGTTGCGCGTATATGTGCATTGGAGTAATGTTGTACAGATAACAACTGAAAAGCAAATGGCACTTAAGCTCATTATTGCTCGTGCATGTATATTTACCGTTTTAAGTCCAACGTCATATTTGCGCCTATGTAAATATAGTTACGCTATAAAAAGGTGATTTAATTAGGCAAAATATATATGTGTACATGAGAAAAAGCGATGGAAATAAAACAGAGAAAAAAAAACAAATTATGAGAAGTTACAGACAAGAATGTAGCGTAATACCAATATACACATGCAGCGAGAAATTAATTCGACGCACAAAGTCTGACTGTGGGTAGTATAAACTACTACAGAGATCGGCAGCGGTCAGCGATATTTGTACGAGGTACTTGTCGGTTTAACATAAATTTCAAGAGTAGGAGGAGGAGGGGGACGAGTTGGCGTGCGAGGAAGCTGTAACTATAAGTACGGCTACCTCGTACCTGCCTCTGCCTCCTTCCTCCCCTCTTCGAGAGAGACAGACCTTTCGTACATAATTCCTCTGCTGGGCCCCCGAGTCGAGCTGACCTCCCTGGATTTTACGATAAGACCGGATTTTTTTATTGATTTATATTAAGGAGTCAGTATTGAGGTTTTTTCAGGATTTTTGTAAACTCACGAGTTATGTAAGGCGTGTGTTTCTTTTTTTATATCTCGAGATAATGACATTCATGTCAATGTGTATTTATGTTACATATTATGTGAGTCAAAACCCAAAAACTCGTCACTAATTATTTTTGTAATAGGTATATTATGAGCCATTACAAATTTTACGTTGAAGTTGGGAGTATGCAATATAATAATTTTAGAGTACCCATCCCTAAAATTAAATATTTTCAAACAATAGTAACTCTGTGAATCCAAGTGTTTTAAAACAAAATACTCAAATGTTTACTTTTTTTTAGATGTCTCAAACACTTTCATCTGGAACTATAAAATACGTTGGTGTTTAATTAATTATTATGCGTTGAAATTGATACATCCAAGAGTTAGTTTTAAAATGCTTTACTTAAATGTTTAATCGTTCAGTGCTCGAAATGAAACGTTTAAGTATTTTAAAAGTAACAGAAGTAAAATCGAAAAATTTATGTGACAAACTTCAAAAACTTAAGTGTTACAACGTAAAGGAGCAACGTTATCCATAATTATACGTAAGCAGATGAGAGTTATACTATGTCGTTAGATTCAATCTTTTACAATTTTATTTAAAAGCCATTTGATAGCTCTGTGGGAAGTGTACCTGCCTCTAGGTATTTATGTCTACGGTTCTAATCTCAAGTAGAAAAGAATTTCATTACTACTTAAATATAAAATTTTTTCTGAGTGAGAATTGAACTTCCTCAAAGACTCAACGTTTCTCTCACTGTTCAACCCCACTAATACGGTTTTGCTATTTACTACCGTATGGCTAAAAATACTTTTATGGTCTCAAAATAGCTACGTCTAAGCCTTACGGCAATTAGATATAAACAAAAAAAAATTTATTCGTGCAACATTTTGATAGGGTTGACTCAGAAGATTACTGATTTAATTATTTTTTGTAGATTTTGCGATAAATAATCTGAAAAACACTACTTATCCACACTTAAAAATGGTTTTCATTGTGTTTCTGCTGTTTTTTTATTGATTTGTAGACAATATAATAATACGTGTTATGCTGGGATATGAACATAATGGCTTATCTGCTTTTCATTAACTCAATGATAACATAAAATTTCTTGATGAGTTCGAATCAGAGGATAGATAAAAAACTTTCTTGCCCCGTGAATAAAAATAATACTAATACGAAATTAATGTTGACAATGTCAAGACAAAACCAGTACATATTACTCCACACCTCGAAAACTTTTTGCAAGACTTTTTGTTTAACATCATATTATAAGACTAATTGTTATTAGTTTAATTTTTTTTTTTAACTAAGCAGCTTCCGGCACAAAAAAAACATTTAAAATAAGTAATGCTTCCTAAAATTGTTAATGATTGTAAAATATAAGGCACCAATGATTTAATAATACATCTATTGTACTTAGATTGCAATTGCATATTTATAGTAAGTACTCCCTCCGTTAACTTTAGACTGAATACATAATTTATATATACTACATTTATTACTATTAAGTATATTGAAACAATAAAAAGAAACGGCTAAACACATAAAATAGTTAAACTGCTAATGAAGAAGATTGTTAGACATTTTTTTCGGGTTATTATACGTTGTAAGGATTTGTAAAAAATATACATAGGGGAAGGTGGCCTAAAGGAGGTTGGTGGCCTTAAGTGGGTAGGCGCTTGTGTGCCGGCGCATGAAACGCAAAGGGCAAGGTGTGTGTATGTCGAGGTTACCCGAGTACCTCTAAGTTTCGCTCATTCCTAAACAACACCGTGGTATAGCGTAATTACACGGAATTTCAAAATCAATTTGATAAAATAAATTAGAGGTGTGTATTTGCGACCAGTCAAAAACTAGTACATAATGTATTGTATCGTTGATAATTTTCTATCAATTTGAAGTTTAAATTGAGCAAAAATATTGGCGTTTTATGTTGAACTTTTTTAAGTACACATTACTTAAATAAATAAGTTGCTAAAATTATGCAAAAACTGCGTTTTTGCGTTTAAGGCACGACTGATACGAGGGAATATGGTATTACCACACTGTGTAAAAAGTTGGTACTGTTTGGTGTAGGGTTGGTAAATAAATGTACACATTCCCACGGAATGAAAAAAAGAAAGCTATAGAACACAATGATTATCGCCCTTAAATTTGCATTGAGTGTCAATTGTGCGTATTCTGAACAAGCTAGTATTATATCGTTTTTTGCGATTTATGGCGATTATTTTATCTTACCGACATAAATTTTAGTTAAATTTTTCGGCATTTTTGCGATTTAGAACACAAATTTAATATTATAACTAAATATGTTAAATACAAAAAAGTTGTATTTCAACGAGACCTTGAACTATCACGTTTAATTTATTATCTCAAGTGCAAAACAACAAAGTTGGATAGGGGAAAACGACTTTTTATTCATTTTACAAGCACTTTTCGGCTCATAGAACGTGTGCGTTACATCTTAGGTAAAAATGTTTTACTCTACAGAGTTATATTTCAATAAGATCTACAACTTTTACGAGTAATATCATAATTTAAAGTACAAAATAAATAAGTTAGATAGGGAAAAACTACATTTTTGAGATTTTCGAGCACTTTTTGGCTCACAGAACGTTTGGGTTACATCCTAGACGAAAATTTTAAATACAAAAAAGTTGTATTTCAAGTATATCTACAACTTTGTCTTTCACAGCAAATCTCGAAAATATCACGTTATAAAGTACAAAACAAATAATTTAGATAGGGAAAAACTGCGTTTTTGCGATTTTTGAGCACTTTTTGGCTCACAGAACGTTTGGGTTACATCCTAGACGAAAATTTTAANACAGAACGTTTGAGTTACATCCTGGACGAAAATTTTAAATACAAAAAAGTTGTATTTCAAGTATATCTACAACTTTGTCTTTCACAGCAAATCTCGAAAATATCACGTTGTAAAGTTATAACCAAAAAAATTTTTTTTTTTACTGAAAGTACCATCTTAAAACGACTGCCATTTTTTTTCTAAAACAGGAAACCTTACGGATTTTAAACCATTACATGAGACATAAAAGACAAAACTATTCGTCAAATTTCAGCCCAATCCGACAGAAACTGCATTAGTTAATAAAAAAACTTGATTACGCCCATACATACATGCATACACCTCTGATGCTGAGGTCCACGGTCGAAATTTTTTTTGTACCAAAATTTTTTTTTACACAAAAACAATTAGTTTTAAAGGTACTTACACTTTTTGCTCTGGCAAAAATATAAGGTACTCCTGAGTATCAGTCATGCCTAAAAAACCCAGGCAAAGCGGGTTGCTTGGCAGGTATCCGATTTGCACTGATGTCATTTTTTACTTATTTTTTTGAAATTAATCATAGAAAATAAAGTGATTTATGTCACAAATAAGACATTTACATTTAAAATTTTGAAAACGTTGTTTACTATTTTTAAGTTCTTAAGTTACCGATTTAATAGTTATTTAGATCTAAGTATAGCTATATTTTCATAAGCCAGTCTCTTAAGCTATTGAAGGGTGATTAAATTAGACTAAAATTATTATTTAAATAATTCATCAAAGCACATTTTTCTTCATTGTAGTGCCTTTTTGCTTTGCCAGAACGGATAACCCACTTTAGCCCCCCTCCCTCCTCTATAGGAAAGCGGTTTTTTCAAGGGTCTCTTTACTTTTAATAGTAGATCATAAGTAAATAGAGAATGACCCAATATTGCTTATTTATTTCACAGTTCTATGTGCCCTCTGTCCAAAAAAAAAGAATTGATCATGTTGTATCGTATACAAATACTAAATTTTCTAGGCTTTAACGTTAACTAACCCGCTTTAGGCCACCTTCACCTACACAAGAACTAACTTTTATTAACAACTTCGTTCAATGCAGGTCAACGGGGCTCAGACAACAACCATATCCCACCGAGATGGACTGTTGGCTCATCAAAAATTTCTTAAGCTCACATACGCACGAACGCACCTGTATCGGTATAGAATGAAGGAAAGAAAAAAGCGGTTGTACTGTGTGGGGCTGATAGTTAGATTAGGATCTCGAGGACGCAACGGCTAAGCCTGGAATTCACTTCACTCCTGCCCGAGTGTATCATACACACGTATAAATAGCTGCCCAATTTACATAGAAAGGGGACGACGACGGAGACGATGAGTTCATGGGGAGACCAAGTAAAAGCCGCTCGTTCGCACAGTCTAATCTCTCTATCATCTTGGTGCTGCTAACATTGACTTTTTTTGGTAGGGACAGTCTCTAACGCGAGCCTCGTATCGCATTATCACGTTTGCACGCACAGGGTTGCGAGCTCTATTAATTGGCTGATTTCAGTTTTGAAAAAATGGTCAAATCATAAGACGCGCCATCGCTTACAGGATAAATTTAGGTACGCGTGTTGTTATGGGTATTATTTATGCCCTTGTGAGGGTCGCGTGGATTTTTTCGTTTCTTAATTTATGATTCGAGATTTTTTGGGCGATAGGTGTGCGGCTGAGTTTCGATGTACGATGATAAATTATACACGCGTTTTTCTGACGTATTTCGAAATTTACTCGTCGGCAAGGAAAAGTCCGATTGTGAGTTTAAGTCTTGTGAGAGCTGTAATGTTCATTGTTTTTTTTTATTAGAATGTATAATAAATAGGTCGACGCTAGTAGCGATTTTATTTCCTCATCGGTACTGTTTTACACAAGCGTATTGTCCTTCACCCTGCGTAGTTAGACTTAAAAATATTCACCATTTTCACCTGATAACTAGCAACTGGTATCCCTATACCTTTTACTTCTCCCTTTTTTACATTTACCTTAAATTGTGAGTTTCAATTGCAGGTTACGTTGTTGCCAGAGGAGAACAAAAAAAAATGTTCCAACGAGTAATGCAAACTATGGTGGATACGGTTATCGCGTTAAAGATAAGTAGAAAAAAAAATTAAATGATGAGTAGCTAACCCAGCAAAGTTTTCGATTGTAAAATGTACTTAACACGTATAATCGCAGGTATATAAAAAAAAAGAACAACGCTGTTGATCGGTGGATGCCTGCATGTATTGCTCGTGAAGTTTACTGCAATAGTTAAAGAGATCAAGCTCAGAGTAAAAATCGTAATAAGGCTGACTGCCAAAGTGCTGATTGTCTAATGTGCATACAGCGTTTTTGCATCCCCGTAGTATGGAACTTAATCATGTGAATTAGTAATTCTTTTTAGCAAAACATAAAAGAAATAAACTTTAAGTATATCTATACTAGTCACTACTGATACACTTGGCACTTTTTTCTTATTTATACTGTGATTTGTTCCTTTAAAACTTGTTTTCCTACTTTAAAAAATTGATTGTCACGTGACTGAATCCTTTTTATTCGTTTCGAGATTGGTTAAAGCTGGTCACATGGTTTGTGTGGCGGGGTTTTCAAAAAGTCAAATTCATGAAATTGTTGCAACGTAATATGTAATTAATATAGAGTGATCAACTTTGGATTTTTTGTTTATTCTCTTAGAATGAACAATGAAACGAGAAAATTAACTTGTTTTGAGTTAATACGAAATTAAATTATCCACCAAAAATAGTTGTAATTCTGCAATGCCTTTTATTTACAACGTATACATTTATATGCAAAATAATTTTTTTAATTATTGTGGTTTCTTTACATGAATGTTATTGAAAAAAAAAAAAATAATAATTATTGACGGCAAAATGAAAATTGTATAGGTAAGATGTAGGACGGTCGTTTGCTAAGATAAAAAACAAAGTAAACGTGATTTTGTACTTTTTTTATAAGTGTACCACATACTACTTACTAATTAAACTGTAAAATATGTAAATTTCTATTTGTTATTATGAAAAAAGTGTCAATAACAAAAAAACATGCAAAGTACATTTAACGTAACTAGTAAGGAAAAAAAATGAAGTATTTATTAATTATTGAGTAAAAAAATAGCACTTCATCTGCGAGATTTCACAAAAATACTTTCCAACTTAAATAACGTTATAATTTGTTATAAATGTTTCCAGAACCGAACTATCAGTTAGAAACAGTTTAAGGGCAAGTGCCGCGTATAACAGGCTGCATTACTTAAAAAAATAAATTTTTATACACTTCAGATTTGAATTTATCATCCGTCCGAAGGAACATTTAAGCTTTGTCTGAATAATAGTAGAAAAAAAATTTATTTTATGAGAAAATACTTACTTCGACTGGCAAGGAAGATCTCGATAGCTATGTTCTGCAATAGGTATCGCCGTGAAAAGATCGCACGAACTTCCGAGAAGTACCACTTGCCATGAAGGTGATCGCAGTACTTTAAAACCTGTAACGAAAAAATTGAGAAACCAGAGGTTAAAAAAAGGTATTTATATTTTATAGGTTTAAAAAAAAACAAAAGTACATAACTGTGTCTTTCATTATTTTTATGATGATGAAAATCCTCTAAATGTAAAATTGTGTTTGACAGTTACGAAAATTTTTACTTCAAAATTTTATAACGTACTCTTAGAGTATCATGAATAAAAAGCATAACACCACATATGACATTTTATTATTACATTAGTTCTTAGCTATCGAGAAAGTGATTTAACATTGAAACAGTCTGATACTTGAATACATGGACTGAGGAGAGTACAAATGTTCATTTTAGATACTTAGAAAGCGGTAAAACTATTAATTTTACTTTCATCGATATTTTCATCAATTTTTTAATTTGAAATTATATTCTACTGTAGTAATTGTTTATGTTTCAAACCAAACTACATCCAATCGCGAGATTTAAACTTTTTCAAATTAGTTATTTCAGTGTAATTCAGATACAGATAATAAAACTATCTAAGTTATTGTTCACGAAATTCTTCACTTTACTTCTGATGAATAATCAGTTGATTGACATAGGAGGAGATAAGTTAAATTTATGACTAGATTAATGTCTGGAAAACATATTTCGATAAGTATACCACATGACTGATGATGCTTTAACGGTAAATTTATTACATCGTTGGGCAAAAAACTAATGTTTCATTTTTTAAAATAATTTTTCTTACTCGGATATTATTTTCAATTGATTTAAAAAAAAAACAAAGTTTTATTGAATTAGGACTCGTAAGCTCCTCTCAGGATGTACTTGCATTTAATTTACATACATCTTTTAGCATGCTCTGGAAAAAATGAGAACCACCTTTTTTTCGGACTTTGTTGGTTTAAGAACAGAGAATTGCATTTCTTTGTTAAAACTTCTCTATTTAAAAACACTGACGTTCTAGAATAAGAACGAAGTTGAGTTAGTTGTAAAAATTGATTGGATACGTGACTAGTTGATTACAAACATTATATAAACAATTATTACCCTTATTTTAGAATCGGCATATGAATTGTTTTACAAAAAAAAAAAAAAAAAAAAAAAAAGAGTATGATTGAAAAAGGTTCACACGTTTTCATCTAATTAAAAAAAATTCGGTACTTCAGTGAAGCAGTAATGCTTTAAAAGATGATTTGTCCGTTTTCGCATTGATACCCCCGTGAATTTCAACTTCAAAATAAACATGAATTTGATTGGTTCATTCAAATTAACCTTATCGATTGCGAGATGGCGTATTTAGGGTACATCAACTCCCCCCTCCCCCTAGATGCATTATTTTAACGTAGTTGTCGGCACCGTAGTTGTTCTTTCAATGCACGCAAATAAGTACAGAGAGACTACTGCAGTGATCGAGCCAAGTAAAGCTGACAAATCAGCTTGAAAAACATCAACATTACGCATCTTATTTCCTCAGGATACGAGAAGCCCTTGTTCAGGATGATCTTGAGAACAAGTTGGTATCCCGGTACAAGAGAGGAATGGAGTATAAAGTCACTTACAGGTGTACCTATACCTTCGAACAGATGAAGCTCATACGGGCGAAAGGATCAAGAACCCCGGAGAAGTAGGTACACACATATTGTACGTGCAGCGCGCAGAATCAGCCAAGTGTGATACTCGATGTATACACGTATAAGTGCAAGCGCGAGAGGGCCGGTTATGCAAGATGGCCGACCCGGTAGGAGGAGCCTCTTGCCGTTTCTCGCGCGCTCGTTTTGCCGTCAATGGATGTACCTAGTATAAGGTACAACTATACTTCCAGATCTTTGAAAAATCGTGGGGTAATAGGACCAACATTTTGAATTACGTTTTGTTTTTCAGTCCTCACGGACTCAGAAACTTACGGTTTAGCGGTGGACACTCAATTTTCTCAGACTAGTCTACTTACACGAAATACATTAAGAGAAATCTTTTTTCCTCGAGTTGAAAGGAAATGTTAAGTCATGAAATATAGCTAAAAAATGCTTCTTCTATTCTGATTTTAACTTAGTTTTTAAAAAAAGTTGGGGTACAAGCTAAGAAATTAATCATCATTTTTGAAGTATGTTTTAATAGCTTGAATAATAAATATAAAAGTCCCGCAGACTTGAATGAGTTACACTGAATGTCCTCTCATTGCCTCGACATTACTGTATCTGCGCAAAGAACGAGGCTTAAAACCAGTGACACTATAGATAACAAAGGCCATCATAAAAGGTGATTTAATAAGTATATATAAGACATAGATGTTTGAAGCCTTAATAATAATCGAGTCAACTGTTACTGACAATCAAAATTTCATCCAAAAATGTGATCATTACTGCAGATACTATAAAATTTACTTTGCAATTTTTATCCATCTCTCAGTTATAAAGGAACTTCCTCACGACTATGTAACGGATAAACATTGATAAACTTATCAGAGCTTTCATCAAAATTTGTAAGAAGAGCTTACAAACAATCTTCTAGCTAACATCCAAACTTTGTCTTGAATAGAGTCAAACAAAAGAGTCAAACCCCAATTTAAGAAAACAGTTTGAGTCTTCAGGTTCAGGCATTTATTTTAAAGGAAAGTATATGGCGAAGCTAAAGGCAATGAAAAATCTTTCAAAAGACATAATTTTTATTATGGAAAGTATGCTAAGCAAAACAAAAATTTGTAAATGTTAGTTTCCTTTAAGTCTTAGTGTTTTTCAAGGATTCTCGTATCATTCAAGAATTGAATTTTTTTTTTTTTATTCTCAAGCTTGGATATAACTGATGATTAAGTGAGTTATACAACCCTGGTAGAAACGTTACTACATAAACTGGCTAGAAACTCGTCAACATGTTATAAGCCCATTGACGCATGTACGTAGAAACGTTACTACATAAACTGGCTAGAAACTCGTCAACATGTTATAAGCCCATTTACGCATGTGCATTGACGAGTTTCTAGCCAGTTTATGTAGTAATTTTCTACCAGGAAATATAAATTATAAATACAATAAAAGTAAGCTATTGCCTTAACTAAGAAACAAGCAAATTAACTTAAATTTGTAGGTATTAAAAAAAGGAAACTTTATATTTAATTCCATCTAGTTTTTCTAGAGCATCTCTTTTCACGGTATTAAGAAAAAAAGACAAGCTGCAGCTAAGAATTTTGTTCCAACTAGACTGCACTAAAGACAGTGACCTGCCCCTAGAACGTGCATTTTTTAGGCTGGAAGGTGCATCAGTGAAAAGGATCATTTATTTAAAGTCAACTTGAGCGTGACAAAATAACCGTTTACTAATTGTAGTTAATACAACATCTGTGCAAGCGTGGTAAGGGATAAAGATAGTAAAGAAACGGAATATTTATAACCAACGTTAAGCATTAACGAATACTTTTTTATTGTTTGTCAAAGGTCCTGAACTTTAGGTGGAATACAAGAACCTTTTGTACTTTCCAACTTACATTTTTCCATAGATTTCGACGTGTACATCCCTGTACATTAAAAGAATCGATTCTCTGGACTAAGCGCGACTGCCCTTTTTCTCGCACCGCACCCTTTTAGCGCCATGCACACCCGTAGCTTTTTCATATCTAAACGCGTCCGAAGAGAAAAACCACGTCTCTCTCCAAGCAGCCATTGGGAAAAATCTCTCGAACGATCAAGAGATGCAATCTCGTTCGCCGAGTGCAAAAATATTTCGCTCGCCTTGGTAAATGTGCGCGGGCAGGCTCGTGCGAGCTGCACCATTAAAAGTATCGCATTTCAGAGGAAAGAGAGAAACTGCGGATCGCTTATAGCGACGACCGCAATGAAACCCCAAACTTTGTAAGGGCATACCCTTCTCTCGGGGGGAATGTAAATTTCTCAGTCGAGCAGGTAAATGAACAAAAATTTTAAGATGCTTTCGGAAAAAAAAACCCTTTTGCTCGCAGTCGCATCGGGAGTGGGCGAGAAAAATGGAGAGAAAGAGTGGCCGAGGAGAAAAAAAGAATAGAAAAAAGTCGCTCGAGGCGCGATCGCGATCCACAGATAGCATTGAAGAAATACGCCGTGTCACCGCTGAGGATCAACCTTAAATTATTTTGAATTATTTCGGTGATAAAATCTCTTTGCCTCTCGACGACGATAAAATTTCACGTTTTATGAAAAAAAAAAAAAAAAAACATCTCCGGCTTGCTACACTGTATGCTCGTATATAGGTACTGTAAATGCGTGTAAATCAAGATTATATTCACGTAATTTATTGCAACTGTTATTATAAATAAATTGCGTCCTCGCTTTGCAATTATTTTTTTTTGTTTTCATTTTACAAAAAGGTAATAAAATGTATAAAGGCATGTATTTGTAAAATCTAAGAGCATCTATCCGAATGGGCTTTTAAACGCGCATTTATCTCTATGGATGTGAGTTTCTTGTTCACAATGAAGATAATATTGAAAAATCTTTATTTTCTGAAAATGTTTCGTACGAAAATTGCGTAATTTAATGTGGATAAATAATTTATATTACAGCTTTAAATTAGGATAAATCATGGACATTGGGTTACGCATGCTGCTTTTATATGTGAAAGATTGTTGTGAAGAAAATAATTTTTTTCTAAGTCTCGTGCAATGTGTCTATAACGTAGTGGTTTGTGGAATATCTCCATGATATAAATATGCAAGTTTAAGGATTACCTATAAATACACGTTGTTGTACAGAAATTAATTTAACTTTGCGTAATTATTATTATTAAATAACACGGGCTCTTACCAAAGTTCAAGCACCCATCATTAACGTTTTGATTTCTTAATATGTCTCAGTTACAGAAGTAGACAAAATTTCGATTGAATTGGATGTCTAAGTCTGATTTCGAATGCTCTTCGTCTTAAATAATGACGCACTCTGTACATTAAAAATTGTTTGGTTATCTAACACAACTGAATGAATATAGGAATGAACGTGTTAAAAGCATCGTACTATGGTTCTGTTCGGAAATGATGGGTTGGTTAAGTATTAAGTTGG